AGTATGAACTTGGATGTGCAGGAAGGCAGGATTTCAGTGGGTCTGTCTTGGATCTTCAGTGTTCTCAGAGTCGAGAAACGTAGGCGCCTGTGTGACACGAAGGGACTCCAGCACGGCCTGCAGGAGGTCGTCAAGGATGAACAAGGACCCCTGAATGAGGATTTCAAACAGCAGAAGGAAGTGCAGAGTGTGCAGGAGGGGAACAGACAGCCCTGGAGGCAGACGGAGCCTTGGCCTGTTGGTGCGGGAATGGAGCCGCTGATGCCAACGCTGAGCTGCAGTGGATGGAATTACCCAGAGGTGGGGAGGGCAGCCAGAAGGACTTGTTGGAATACTTTGTCAGCACAAGGAGGACAACAAAGGGGGAAGGAAAAAAAAAGACCCCATCCAAAGACAGTGGAAATACAGAAATTCCTGAGATGAGTTTCCCCAGTGAGAGGGCTGGTGGGAAAGGTGCTTTGTTAAGTGGCTGGCGTACATTTCCCTATACCTATAGCTGTGTGTACCTACATGTGTGTGTGTGCTGCTGTGGAAAGGTAAAGAAGGTGTGATGATACAAGGGACAATCTGCCTATCCAGAAATAGAGCACTTCATGGAAGCTTTTCTCTCTGATTTTCTTCATTAGGATGTCAGTATCTCATAGTGTGATTCTCTGTGCCGACAGGGCTGCGTTTCGGGGCCAGTTTTCTTTAATGTTTTTGTCAGTGGTGGGGATGAGGGTAATGAGTGCGCTCTCTTATTAAGTTTGCAGACAATACCAAGTTAGGGGGGCCTACTGGTCTGCCCAAAGGTAAGGAAGGCAGAGGGATCCGGATAGGTTGCATCCGTTGGCCAAGTGCAATCAGCAAGAGGAAGTGCTGGTTGGTGCACCTGGACAAAAACAACCCCATGACGTTGTAAGGGCTTGGGGAAGAGTGGCTGGAAAGGGGCCTGGCAGGACGGGACCCGGGGGTCCATTCGCTCACTGTGAACAACTTCCCGGCCTGCAGCGGAAATTCGCATATAGGAGTCGCCAGGGAAAGGCTGTGAGAGGTTGTTTAACGTGGAGAAGAAGGAACTGAGAGGAGATCTCACTGTTGTGCACAGCTGCCCGAAAGAAGATTATCCTGAGGAGGGCGTCCACCTCTGCTCAGCTAACAAGCTGTGGGTAACAGGTAACTGGAGCCTAGAGAAGTGTGGTGCCTGTGGTAGGACAGTGGTGCTCTGCCTAAAAACACTGAGGTTCTGAGCACCTCTTCACCCACTGAAACAACAAAATGCCATTAATGGAATGATTTGCCTCGTCAAGAGGTTTTCAAAGTGCGTATCAATAGCAAATTCATCTTCCCCTGTACTTGCGTTGCCCTGTGCTTGTTCTGCTGTGTATTTGATCTTGCTGGTCCTTCATGTATTTCTGCGGGACCTTACTAAACTGACTGTGTACGACTGTCTACCCGGCGGTTGCTTTGGCTTTCTGTGTCAGGATCCCCGTGCTGTACTTAGCGCTGAGTGCGTGAACCTCATGTCACGTCTTGGCGTGCATTCGTCGTTCCTCCAAAAGCAATGCCTCTTAATTCCTGGGAAACCGCAACAGATACAAAGAGCGCAGCAAACCTTTTTAACAGGGCAAATTCTCTGCTACAAAACACCGCCGTGACGATGCCTTTTTTCCCCAGCAGTGAACGATGCCTGCATCCCACGCTCATGAGAATCTGCGCCGGCGGAGGTGGCCCGCTGTGGCCACAATGGGAGGCAGCACCCACTGCTGCGCTGCATTCACCCCCACGCTTTGTTCTCCATAAACACCCAGCAAGCATCAAGGAATGCCACTGGGCACCGTTTTTCCGTGCAGAGGTTTCATTCCACGGTCTCTGCTGTTATCTTGCGTCCTTTATCAGTACTAATAGTTCACCAGGGGTCTTTTTGCTTCATCAGGGGTCTCTGACAGCCTTCATCACTTGTCCTTTAGATGACTTTTCACACTGGCACGGGCTCAGTGGGTAGATGGAGTAATTCATGGGTACAAAGACTGCAGCTCTTGCCTGTCCAGCCACCTGCAACACCTCTGAGCCCTGACTTAAAGACAGGTTAGACATCCCGCTTCTGAACAGCGTGACAAGGATATCAATAGGCTCATTATGCTAAAAGACTGCTAATTTTTGGTGCTGGACAGACAAGACCCGAGTGATAGGAAGCTTGAGGAGAAGTTAAGCAATTAGCAACATACATGTTTCGGTAGCAGCGGTTTGTGTGCAGCAGGTATCCGTACGTTCAGTGAAGTGTCAGGAAGATTTGTGAACCTGAAGTACTCAGCCAACGAGGACCAGAGGAGGAAGAGGCAATCATCAGGCAATAGGGCATAAAGGACGCGATGCTGTTTTCGGCGTGCGCTTCTGCTCGCTTTATCAGAGACGCCATGCCGACAAATTATTTGGATATTTCCAGCTCTCCTGTTCTCTTCGTGTTCTCTTTTATCTCATTTATCACATTTAGTTTGCATCATGGTGACGGTCTGCACTCTCCGTCACCTCCTCGTAGGTTCTGGCAGGCTGCAATGAGATCCCTTCTGCTCTCCCTTCTCCAGGTGGACAAGTCCATCTCCCTCAGCCTCTCCTCAGGACAGGCGACGCGCTCCAGCGCTGACTATCCTGATCCTCCTCGCACCCCCTCTGTCTTGCTGACATCATTCCTGTGCCGGGGATATGAAATCCGAAGGCAGCACTGTAGATGATGCCTTCCCTCCATCTTCTGGCCACTGTCTTCACCCATGGGTTGAGACAAGGATATGGAGATCTTCATAATTACTATCACAAGTAAGGCAGACAGAATCTGGGGAAGCTTAATGCAATTACTGCCAATTAATAACCGTGCCGGCCAGTGAGGCGCAGTGCTGGCCTCCCCAGACTGGCAGCCCTCCTTTCCAGATTGTTGCCCACCAAGTCCTTCTCCACAGGGCAGCTCTCAGCCTGGCGGCCCCAGCCTACGCCACAGTCAGAAATACAGTCTTGCTGTAGAAAACATTTGCTTTTGTCCTCCTGGCCTTTCACGAAATGCCTGTCAGTGCATTCTGTCATCTTAAACCCTCTTCCCCAGCAGTGAGGCCTGGAGTCCCTTTCAGTAAAGACTCAGGCAGCAAAAACATTCAGTCCCTCAGCTCGATCTGTGCCTGCTGTCATTAAACCAGGCTCTCCACTCAGCGTCAGCACAGCATGTCTTTAAATCAGCCCTGGTCTCCAATGTAGCAACCAACACTCTTCTTTTTCCTCTCGATTTTCTTGCGAAGACCAGCCGCAGGTCAGATTTGCCTCTGCTAAAACCATGCACCCACCACCAAGGCAGCTGAAATACATTGAATCTTTAGAGCCTGTCCTTGCTGACACCTCCTGGCAACCGCTTTGTGGGTCTGTCAGCACCCCGTGCCTAGCAGAGCCTAGCCCTGCTGCTGCCCACATGGCACCACAGCCATGCTGTGAAAGCACCAGCACGGCAGCACGCCTTCAGCGGGGACACGTTCTCCCACTACAAGAATGATGACATCCTCAGTGTCTGCATCCCATTATCTTTACTGACAGTCTGGAAAGAGGGATTGACTGTTCCGTCAGTACGTTTGCAGATGAAACCAAGTTGGGAAGAAGTACTGATCTGCCTGAAGGTAGAAAGGCCTTACAGAGGGATCCGGACAGGCTGGATCAGTGGACTGAGTCTAACTGTATGACCTTTACCAAGACAAGTGTCGGGTCCTGCACCGTGGTCACAACAATGCCATGCATCATTACAGGTTTGGGGCAGAGGAAAGCTGCAGGGAGGAAAAGGATCTGGAAATGTTAACTGACAGCCAGCGCTGTGCCAAGTGCCCAAGAAGGCCACTGGCATCCTGGCTTCTATCAGAAACAGCGTAGTCAGCGGGACCAGGGGGGTGATGTGCTCAGCACTGGTGTTGCCACACCTCGAGCACCGCGTGCAGTTTTGAGCCCCTCGCTGCAAGAAGGACATTGAGGCCCTGGAGGGTGTCCAGAGAAGTGCAACAAAGATGCGAAGGGTCTGGAACAGAAATTTTACAGGGAGCAGCTGAGGGAACTGGGTTGTTTAATATGGAGGAGGCTCAGCAGGACTGCGTCGCTCCGCTCAACTGCCTGAAAGGAGGTTGTGCCAAGGTGGGAGTCGCCTATTTCCTCAGGTAACGGCGAGGAGCTGGAAGTCATGGCTTCAATTGTGCCAGGGGAGCTTCATGTTGGATATTAGAGATATCCAACATGAGCCTATCAGATTGATAGAGCCTATCGATAGCTGAAGGGAACCTACAGCCAGGAGGGGAGTCAACTCTTGCCAAGGGCTGACAACAGCAGGACCAGGGGAAATGGATGCAAGGTGAGGGAGGGAAGATGGAGGTTGGATGTGAGGGGGAAGTTGTTTCCAAGGAGAGCGGTGAGGCCCTGCAACGGGCTGCCCAGGGAGGTTGTGGATGCCCCGTCCTTGGCCGTGTTCAAGGCCAGGTTGGACGGGGTCCTGGGCAACCTGATGTGAATGTGTGTGTTTGGTGGCCCTGCTGGGCAGGGGGTTGGAACTCCATGAGCCTTGAGGTCCCTTCAACCCGCCTGATTCTGTGATGCTGTGATTCTGTGATTAGGAAAAAAAAAATTCGCAGAAAGAGTGGAGAGGCATTGGAACAGGCTGCCCAGGGCAGCGGTGAGGTCACCACTCCAGGAGGTTTCCGAGGGATGTGCAGATGTGACACTTAGCAGCATGGCTCAGGAAGCACGGTGGTGGCTGGACGAGATCTTGGTTACCTTTTCCAACCTTAATGATTCCACGGTTATAATACCCAAAGAGCCCAGCTGTAGATGGGGGAGATGCTTCCGGCACACGCGGGGACTTGCGGCCGCGCTCCGATGCTTTTTGACCCCGCGGAGCCGCCGTAGTCGGTTGCGGTGTGTGTACACGGAAACTTCCGGCCGCGTTCCGATGCTTTTTGTCCCCGCGGAGCCGCCGTAGTCGGTTGCGATGCGCGTACCCGGAAACTTCCGGCCGCGCTCCGATGCTTTTTGTCCCCGCGGAGCCGCCGTGGTCGGTCGCGGTGCGCGGAGTCGTCATGGAGTCGGAGGGTCCCTCTGAGCCGGGTTTCGTCGGGATCCGCTTCTGCCAGGAGTGGTGAGAGAGGCGGGAGCGGGGCCGGGAGCGGGAGCGAGCCGCGTTCCGGCCCCGCGCTGATTCGCGTCTCTTTAGCAACAACATGCTGTACCCCAAGGAGGACAAGGAGAGCCGTGTGCTGCTTTACGCGGTGAGGCCCCGCGGCTCGCGTACCCCCATGGGCCCCGCGCACCCCGAGCCGCGTCCTTCAGAGCTGGGCCCGGGCCTTGACCCCCCCCCGCTCCCGTCTCTGCCCCCAGTGCCGCAATTGCGACTACCAGCAGGAGGCCGACAGCAGCTGCATCTACGTCAACAAGATCACGCATGAAGTGGAGTGAGTGCGGACCCCCTCGGGACCCACCCCCGGCACCCCTTCCTCCTGCTTCCAACCCACACAGCCGTCCTCTGCCATCCCTGCCACCCCCTCCTTCGTCCCCCCGACAAGACAGCCCCTAAGGTCCTCCCCTCGATCCTCCCACCTCGGCACGTTGGCCGTCCCTGTTCTGGGTATCAGTGGAGGCTGGTGAACGGGGAGGGGGGGGGGCTGCAATTTCCAAAGGGCTGGTGGGGGTTGTTAACGAGGGGGTAATTAAGTGAGGAAAGTGCTTGGCAGGTGGCTCGGTAGTGAGAGGTAATGAGGCAGGCTGACTGCAGAGCAGTGAACAAAGTGGATCGGTTCATAGTAAGGATGATAACGGAATGATTGGGTTAATAACGGTGATCGAGGTGTAAATGGGGAGTAATTAATAAGGATAGGTAATAAGGGAAGAGGACCGGAGGGCAGTTAATGGAGAAAATTAATAGGGGATATATATTCATAGGCATTTAATAAGAATCATAGAGGAACAGTTGGAATTGCTAGTAAGATTGAGGAATAAATAGAGACTAACTGATAAGGAGAAGGCAGTAAGGCGGAACAACCCAAGAGCAAATAATAAGGACATAATGAGGAAGATGCCAGGGCCGTTAACTGTCTTGAGGCTCGTTAGGAGGTTGATTAACAAGCTGGGTGTCTCCTCACAGTGAGCTCACGCAGATCATCGCTGATGTCTCCCAGGACCCTACGCTGCCGCGCACTGAGGACCACCCCTGCCAGAAGTGAGGAGCACTTGGGGATCCCCGGGGGGACCAGGAGCCCCTGCAGGGCTGTGAGGGGCTCCCTTGGGGCCGAGAGATGTCCTCAGCCCTGCTGCTTTCCCCCTGGGCTCCAACTTGACCAGTGTCGGGGGCACGGTATCCCTGCCACGTTCCTGCTGCAGGGCTCTGCTACGTGCTGTACATCACCAGTGCTCTCCTCACAGCTCCTTTGCTTCCCTATGGGGTTGTTTAACATCCCCTCCCGTGGTTCCTGCCCCACGCAGGGGCTCCACGTCCCTCCCGTGTCACTGCTTGCCTTTCTCTCCCCCAGGTGTGGGCACAAGGAAGCTGTTTTCTTCCAGTCGCACAGTGCAAGAGCTGAGGTGAGGCACCACCCCCGGGACCCCAGCTGCTGTTGCCACCCCTTCCTATCCCTCTCCTGTGACCACCGCCTCCCCCTTCTCTTCAGGATGCCATGAGGCTCTACTATGTCTGCACAGCCCCGCACTGTGGCCACCGCTGGACCGAGTGATGGCCGTGTCCCCTGGTCTGGCTGTCACCCCCCAGACCAGCCGTTGACTCCTGTACAACCCCTTCCACCTGCCAGATCTCTTCTCTGTACCTGCCGGCATGGCAATTGCATACAAAAAATGGTTGACTTTTGGCGGTGGGTCGTGGTGGTGGCTCTGTGGGGTAGCATTGGATGGGAGGCAGCTCTGTGGGGCAGCGGGGAGGCTTTGGGATGACTGTCGTGGTGCTGGGGCCCTGCAGAAATGTCGCTCTTTCAGCTACGGAGTCTCAGATCCCCTGCAGTGTCCCCAGGAGGCATCGCTTGTACCCCCAGATGGGCCCTGAATCGCAGCCCTAGGATCTCCAAGTGTCATCCCAGGTGCCCAAGAGGAGCCTCGAGTGCCCTCAACCGAGCTCTCGTCACCTCACTGGACCCCAGCTTCAGCTCCCAGAGATGCCCTGAGCTCCACATGTCTCACTGTGGGTCCCGTGCTGCAGTCCTGGTGCTTTCAGTAGCCCCACGGGGGCCAAAACCGCCTTCTGGGTGCTCCGACTCCTAATGTACCCCGTTATGCACTCTGCATCCCTGGATTGCCCATTTGTGTTTCAGATCTCCTCTGCCCTGTCTCAGATTACACCGTCAAAGCATAAATTGCCCCAGGAGATATCAGATCTCCTTCACTGGTACCCTGAGTAGCTCAGTTGGGCCCCAGATTGCAAATATCCCCAGAGAGCCTCACATCGCAGCCTGGTGCAGCTGCAGCTGGTGAGTGGTGCCAGCAGGGGCCCCAGGCCTGTGCCCTGCCATCCTGAAGCCTGAGGTCGGTGTAAGTCTTGTTGGTCCCAGCAGTGTTGTTTGTTGGGTTTGGCCCAAATTAATGGCTTTGGGACAGAGATTTTGAAGGTGATCTGTAGGGTTGACAGAGATGGCTCCTTCCATCCCTGTTCTTGTTGCTGCTATTGAGCGTTGGCCTGTAGCAGGGCTGGGAGGGGACGTGTCTCAAGGCAATTGCAACCGCTTTAGGGGGCTCGGGGGGGTTCAGATCTGTGGAGAAGCCATCAAACCTCGCTTAAAGGTCAGGAGGTGTTGGTGCTGCGATCCTTGGCTTGTGCCAGACCTGGGAACCGGCACAGGCAGGTGTGATCCTTCTGAACCTCTGGTTTTGGAAGCAGTTCTGGGCATCCAGCGCTGCCTCAAGGTGCTGCTTGTGGCACTTGTTCTGCCTGGGCTCTGTGATTAGAGCTGCTCTGCCTGTTTCATTTCCTGTCCCTGCCATCATTTGCCAATGTGGAGCAGGGAGGGAAGCAAATCTCTTGCAGAGATGAGGGACGTGAGAGGGTCTCAAAAAGCCCCACTGTGGCACTCAGGTACACACCGAGACCCTCAGCTCGTGCACTGGAGGAATCCTCCCAATTTCTAAAGCACCCGAGTGCTCGCAAAAGGAATTGCGTTTGGGTTAGACTGAGATGAAGCCACGTCCTACAGCTTGCCCCCCCTCTGATGAGGTTTCCCTCTAGGAACCTTAATCCTGCACTTGGCAGCTTGCAGGGCTCACCAAAGGATCCAGCCGTGAGAATTGGGCTGGAAGGAAAAGGGCATCGGGGGGACGTAGGAGGGACGGAGCGCCAAGGGCTTGTGTGGTGAAATGAAGCCAAGGCCAACCCAGCAGATGGTTTGTATTTCAACAGGGCGGCTCAGAACTAATCCTAAAGCAAGTGCCCGTGTCCCCAGCCATCAGGTTGGGCCAGCAGCAGTGACTCCTGATGCAGACCAAGAGGAATGGTTAACAATAGCAGTGAATGCTTCTCATCTGGGAGACGTTTGAGATGACCTGAGGGTGACGGAGCATTCTTGGAGTCAATTCAGGGTAGGCTGGTTTTTAAGGCAGTGAAAAGCTGCACAGGGACTGCTTTCACCCAACGTCTGTAACTGTCATTAATGTGGAGCAGGGAATTCT